TGGAAGTTAAGCTTATGTGCATGGTTTTCTTTTCACATTGTTATTATTATTATGCTTTCTTTAGCTTGTTTCTTTCTTTTCAGGCAACCCTGCTGCAAACTGGATCCATGCGAGATCAACAAGAAAGAAACGTTGTCCGTATACAAAATATCAGACTCTGGAATTGGAAAAGGAGTTCCTTTATAACATGTATTTAACGAGGGATCGTCGCTATGAAGTCGCTCGAATCCTCAGTTTAACTGAACGGCAGGTTAAAATCTGGTTTCAGAACAGAAGAATGAAAATGAAGAAGATGAACCGAGAGAGGAGCGGTAAAGATCCTTAGTGCAAAGCGTGCTTCAAGTGTGCGTCCCTTTAACATATCCTTGGATTAGGATACAATTTTTGTGATTTTGTTGTTGTTGTTGTTGTTGAGCTACTCAAGATTGAATTGGCATATATTCTATTTAATTATATATATATATATATATATATATATATATATATATATATATATATATATATATATATATATATATATATCCCTCTGAGTCAAAATAATTATTTGAGTGACTTATGAATATTTCACAACGATTTCTAAAATAGTTACATTTGGCTTAAAACGCCCTAAAATCTATTTCCCAGAACCATACAGTATTTCTTTTAAGATCTAAGTTTTTTTTTGTTTTTTTTTTTGCACAGTAAAATTCAGCGTCAGTCTTTGCTTATCATTTCTTAGGCTGATCTTTGTCCATAATGCATGCAAAACCTCTTCACCCATGCAGCCACATGAATAATTTACTGTGCCTTTAATTTCTTTCTTTTTAAATTGCACATCTTGTGTTCAATCCCTCATTTCGAATTTCTCCTTACTAAAGTAGTGTATTTCTCGATGAATATTTTGTTGGCGTGTTGGCATCAAAATGTTTAAATTATGTAAGTAAAACGAACTCCTTTTTGGTCTATTTTATGTCTTTTATTTTGGTCACAGTGACGCTCAATTGTCTTCAGTGCTGTATAGTGAATTTGGGTGTAGACAAGCTTTGTTGAATACTCAACTCGTGCACTTACTGTGATAAAATGTTTCTTTTTAGACCAATTTTTACAAATAAATTTCAAGTTCGACATGCATGCTGCTTATGTAATGACATTTTACATTTCAATGTTATGCGATCAGCCTCATTTTCTTTCATGCTGAACACAAACTAGAGGTTCATTGTTAGAGAATATTGAATGGGGGGGGGAAAAAAGTTTATGATTAGGAAAAGGTGTTGCAAGGGACCCCAATTCATCGTCAAACCTGTACCAAGAATTGCTTTAGAGCAGGAAGAAATTGGGTCCAATAAAGCTATAGAAGAGCTAGACGTCTGGTCTAAATGAGTTTATGGTATAGGCCTGTTATTGCTCTTCTCTTTGAAACTAACCTCACTGTGTCTTTGTGTCTGTACTTGCACACAAAAACGTAGACACTTTTTTTGCGGGGCGTCTGGTCGATGTATTGATTGTGAGACTAAAGCGGCATCGACCCCCCAGTAGGCCTACTCTGAAAGTCACGTTTATTCTCGAAATGCTTTTCCACAACCTTAAAGCTGGCAATGGTTTTTGATGTCACAATAAAAGGCAGAAGGGATTATCAACGTAATTATTTTCAGCCATGCATTCGTTGCAACACTCATAGATTTTTAACAGATATATAGACATACCGTGAAACGCGAATGCAAAAAAAAAAAAAAAAGAAAAAAAAAAAAGAAAGAAACATGAACGCATCCCGCTATTTTGCTAAATGAATCAGGGGTGCGCATTATTGCCACTAGAGGGCATAGTTGTTCTGTGAAAATATAGGACTGTGTGCCCGTACACTTACTAACATGAGCTTCATCATCAGAATTAAAACACGATCATTCAAGTATCTAAATTCATTTGCTTCCGGAATGGCAAATTTCGGGACAATCATGCGCCCAGTTCAAACACGCGCCCAGTTTAGCAGTTTACAGGGTCTGTTCTGAATAGATAGGGTTGAGAAAAGGACAAGAACAAAGGAATTTGGACAGCTTCATTTTATCCCAGCATGGAGCACTGTGTAGGCAAATATATTTCAGCTCAACTGATAAAACGTTATGAAAAGGCCTAGTTTATTAATAACGACTGAGCTAAAAGAGTTAAAATGTTATAAGCGAGTTTTCTACAGCTTATTTCTCTGTACTTTCTCTTTGACCTGATGTTTCTTTCCTTTCGAATGAAAATGTACAATCCAACTTGAATCATCAGGAGGAAAATCAGAACTGTCCGGGCCATTTAGAAATGAAAAGTAAAAACGGGAGCTTTACTCAACACAACATACAGCAACATATAAATATAACAACGCCGGTTTTATTTGTTTTAAGCAGCACGCACGCACGACAAACACCCCTACATTTTTACAGTTAATATGCTTGTTTTGTGTTGTTATAGCGTATAAATAATATGCATATACATAGGCTATTCACGCCTTTGTTACAAAACAACTAAAAACTTAATGTAACCTAGTTTTAAATATTGTTATATCTGAAATATTAGCTACACGTTAAATTATATTGTGAAAAGCCTGTCGGTTAGGGTACTTCATGTTTCAACAAAATAGTGTAAAATTTCTTATTTCTTCTTCTTCTTATTATTATAGAAGTAGCCTAAATTAATAAACGCAAATGTCGGCCTAATGTAAACATATGTCGAACAAGACTTTCGCTAACCCCAAACGGAAAAAAGAGAAAAACACAGGCAACAGTTAATCTAATTTCCCTCTCCCTCCTCTCCCTCCCTGCCTGTCATGTGCGGTACAACTAAAAGCAAGCGCGTTTAGGGTCATGCAGGAGAAACCCTGACCGATGGATTTGGCTCTGGGCCTGTTCAGCAAACAGGCTACACTATTCAATAACAGCAGCTCTCAATCATATCTGATTCCACTGGCATAAATAAGTAACGATCTGATACCATCAGTTCTCACTTTGTCGACCAGTGGGCGAAGTATTTTCTCCTGCGGATCAACATTTCCACAAGACGCTGAACGGTAGGCATGCGATGGCGTATTTGCACTGATGCAGTCATTTCATCTGTTTGGGAAGTCCAGACACAGAGCGCCAGTTATCAGGCGAATCCCACTGGAATTACGTGTCACTGCGACCTCTCTTTATTTTACGCACACGATAACTTTCTCAGACAGCGGGTCTTTACGACACCGCGAGAGGCCGAGCGGGTCGCTGCAACACCGAGCCTGTAAATCGCCCAGTAGTGATACTGGCTCGGAACCAGTATACCTAAATCAGCGCTCGCCCCCGTCTCTCAGATGTTCCCTTGCTGAAACTTCAAGGTTGTCTGCCATAAAATCTGTTTTCAGATTACTTTGATTATAAAGGCTTTCCCTTTTAAGACCCCCACCACATCTCCATACCTCCTCGTTATAGAAAATGTAAATACAATTTTACATTTGAATTTGAAATCTTTATTTCGAACATAAAAAGAAAGTATATAAAATAAAACAATGTTTAAAAAACTTAGGAAAAATCAAAACAAATGAGCCGCAAAAATATATAGGCTATGTATAATTCTTGCTGTTGACATACATGTGCGAAAAAGATACGTCTGTCGCAACACTATCTCACGACCAATTCGTACGAATTCGACGCATGATTAAAAAGTGGCTAATTCGTACGACCTCACTCGTACTAATTCGTACGATTTGTCTAAACCCACGTGATGGTTAGGTTTAGGGGCGGGGTAAGGGGTAGGTCATTCGTACGAATTCATACGAATTGGCCAATTCGTAAAATATGTACGATTTAGCAAAATCGTATTAATTCGTACGAGTGAGGTCGTATGAATTGTTACGAATTAGCCACTTTTTAATCATTCGTCGAATTCGTACGACTTGGTCTGTCCATCTACGGAAAGCATGTTCAGAAGCATGCAGCCTATTTATGCAGGCATGCTATTTATTGAGTGACACATAGCATCTCACGTTAAAAAATTGCAAATTTTAACTGATGTGTCCAAATAAGGTCAATAAGCTAATTTAGATTACAAATACCGGCCAATAATGAATGTAGCATATAGCTACTATAACCTAGCCTACTTATTTTTGAGAGTGTTATTTGATTTCCCATTATCAGCCACGAATAAAATGATTTATTAATATTTTTATAAGGTCTTCGCTAGCCTATTATTTGCGGTAAAAATAAATAAATAAAAAAAATAAAAATAAAAAATAGGTAATCTATTATCTACTGTAAAACTCCGTCTTAGAATAGGCTATCAGTCGTTTTGACCCACAAGCAAAAAGTGGCAAATGTGTTTAAATTTCGAACGCCGACAAACAATCTACATTTCTGAATCTATTGCTGATTTATTCGTACATCGTTTTGCTCAAACAGATTGTAAGAACTGTGCATTGTTGCTGTTTACGAAATAAATAGGTTAATAATCAATTACTATAGGCTATTATTCTTTTTAAATTTTAAAAATAAGGCATTTCATATGTATTTAGTTTAGTGTCGATTCGAAATACGTATTCACATTTAATAAAATCTACTGTGCGCATTAACTCAGACTTGACTAGCACGTGAAATTGTCGTTCATTTTAATTTTTCGACGGTTCTTGTTTTAAAAGGGACACGTGTTTTTGCAGCTAATTAGGTCAGTTTCAATTTTTAGCTAGGCTTATTTTAATTTAAATTCATTTGAATTATTTCACTTATTCGAAACAGCATATTAAGAATGTTTTTACGTGTTTGTAATTTATTTGTTTCATTCCCATTCTCTCTCTCTCACTCCCTCTCTCTTGCTATCTCTCACACACACACGCACGCACACACACACACACACACACACACACACACACACACACACACACACACACACACACACACACACACACACACACACACACACACACACACACACACACACACACACACACACACACACACACACACACACACAGATGTCTGTGACTGTATTTTCTTTGCTGAGGAAGTGCAGCTGGCTCAGTCATTATGCGCAAAAAAACTAGAGGCTTTTTCGGCAGCCCAGATTCGCTTTTGTTAGAAGACAATTTACAGCTTTGCAATAGATGTTTTTATGATCCTGTTTCGACGGTCATTGGATGCCACTGGTCATGTGCAGGACGCAAACGTCTTCGTGACCCCTTTTCCTGATTTCCCAAGCGACTTTTCCACTGCATTCTGTGGCTTAAAGGCTCCAAATCCAAAATTCAGTGTTGTCATATATTTTCTCTCTCTCTCTCTTTCTTTTTTGCCGTGCATGTCTATCTGTGTTAGAGATCGAGAAGACAAACTCGAGGCCGATTGCAGGCTGTTGTCAGATCAGATGCTAGACGGCTTCAAGAGTTGCATTTTTAAACAGTGCACCAATACAGCACTGGACGACTGATCTCAAACCAGCAGCAGCACAGGAGGAAAACATGGATTATAAGGCTTTGTTGGGTAAGTTTATATTTCATAAGATTGAATATGCTATCGTGTCAGTCAGAAGATACAGGACCAGCATGTTACTGCGATTATAATTTCAGACTGTGACGGCAGCATTAGCAATCTTTCAAAAACCATCTTACTGTGTTTGCAGTATTTTCTTTTTTTGCAGATAACTCAATTAGGCTGCACTCAAAAATGATGGGATGTTTTAACCCAATTTTTGGGTCAAATATGGACAAACTCAAACATTGGGTTAAAAATGTAATTTAAAATTGTAACCCAATGGCTGGGTTTGTCCATTTTTGACCCAAAATTGGGTTAAAACAACCCAGCATTTTTTAGAGTGTAGTTAATTTTGGATTGCACTAAAAGCAAGAAGATTGTAGCCTATTTATAGTTATTTAAAGGCTGACGGATTTTTTTTAAACATTTTTTTTATTTGATCTGAATGTGAAAATCATCAACCTTTACGAATGAATTCATACTTCCCAATAACTGATACTATTAACATTATTATTAGTAGTATTGTTGTCGTTCAAAGCAGCAAATCTTCAAAAATTCTGAAATAAAGTAATGCAAACCTTCAAATGATGACAGTTCAGTAGTTACGTGTATGATTATTCAACCGCAGATTCATGGATTTACAAGTTAACACTATTTTATGACAGACCCTTCTTGTGATTTTTTAATTGTAATTAATGCTTTATTAGCTTATTTCGCCAGTGTCACATTTATCCACAGATTAGTTATATATCAAATAATGAAGTTTGAGTTGAATGGCTGTAGAAATAGGAATATTTAATCTGTGCATAAAAATAATGATTCACAGCTATTATTCAGACGTTATTATACACACAATTAATTTTTGCATGCATACAAATAATGATTCTTATATATTCAGGTGTCATTATTTAATATATAGCCTAATTAATCTACGCATGAAAATAAAGATCCACAATATAAAATGATGATTTGGAAAGTTTGGAAACCTGTGGCGGACGGTGGAGTTGTGCGTTTTAATGTATGCCTCCCTTAATCGTGAGAATGGCGCAGTTTTTTGGGAAGGGAGAGACAGGCTGAGCGGGACAAAGACAGTATTTCACAGTCAGCTGACAGGCAGAGGTATTTACAACCTCACTGCAATGCGGCAAAACAGATAGAGTTAGAGGAGCCTGAACGAGTCCATGCAACGAGCTTCACATTCAGTTCACTTAGTTCTCAACAATATATCTAATCCTGCAATACAAACTTGAAATGCAATTTATATTGTCTAGAACTTTTAAAACCACACCATTTAAAGAGTTAGAGTTAGGATTTAAACGCAAATCTATTGTCTAAATATTAAATAATAAATAGCCTATGCTCTGTAAAATGTGTCAGTTATATAAATTGTATTATTTATTCATGCATTATTTGAACAGTGATGTGTTATATAAAGCATATTCTATATCTAAAATAAAATAAAACCTTCTTATAGTTGATGAGCAGCTGTGCAAAAAGAAAGAAAAAAGAAAGCCCGAACAGCGATGCAGTGTGTGCTTCGGTCGGCAGGCGGCGCTGTTGTCTAACACTCGGGCGCTTGCTTGTCCGCTCTATGCATCTTTGTCCTTGAGATCATTTCCTGTGACTATGATTGGTTGTCGCAGTCATGTGACACAAGTCACACAGTTCCTTTATTAACTGGTAGAAATTGTGCTTTTTTGTTTAGAACGAAATAAAAAAGAACTGTGAGAATAGTCGGAATTATTATATTTATATAAAAATATTATATTTAATTATTGATTATTATTTTAATAATTTTCACATCCACGCATTCCAGTGTTGACGTAATGTTGTTTTACGTTTTAAAAAGACGATCAAAAATAGCCTATAAAATATCATTATGAAACATTTGTGATAGAGTTTGAAGTCGCGAAACACTCGTGAATTCCATGCACGTATAACATGTTAAATGCATTTAACTGTTAATTGAGTAAAATGTAGGCTAATATATTCAGGTGAATATTGAATTGAATGTTTAATTCTGTAAAAAAAAATAAAAAAATAGTGTTGAGAACATTTCTCAGTAAATTTTATAATAATCTATGCGGAAGCTTTCCCAGTGGCCATTTGTGCCTTCACATAAATCGACAACCCGCCATATGGCACTATTTTATTTCCTCTCAAAAATTTACAGTCAGAAAAATATTTCCATTAGTTCACACGTCAGAGATTTCACAAACACCTCATTTGTCCTGAAGCAAAATAACGAGCAAACTGAAGTAACACACGAATACGCTTCACCAAATAACTCTATTATTTTATAAGGCACACAGCAGACATTAGTCTACAAGAAATAAACTCTGTTTTTCGACAGTGTGTTTTCCCTGTGAGTGCAGTGAATGTGAATTGAACCCCGTGTCTTTATTTCCTCCTGAGATCAGAGTAATCGCCATTATTGAATAAGTGCAACTTTCAGGATTATTTATGGCACCCGCGCGCTGTCATGAATGGCTGTGGGGAAGCACGTGATACCATTAAACTTTGTTTTATGGCCAGGGAGTTGACAAGCCAAAATATAATTCACATTGTATATTAGAAAGGTCGCTCAGACGGTTTGGAAAAGATCCCAGAGTCGCTGCAGAGGAAAGAGTCTCCACGCGCGGTCAGATCATGGATATATGCGCTTCTCGAGGTAAGCTCGTGTTCGTCAGGATACAGGCGAAGCGTCGCTGAATTTGCGCGTGTTGGATTGTGCCATGATGTTTACTGGGGTCTTGTATCTACCAAACCAGCTCTGATCTGTTTCTGTGAACTCCTCTGGGGTTGTTGTGCTCAGTTTTGGGCGGTTGGATAACTGGAGGAAATATAGGTTGTGATGAAGATGACGTAAATGTTATACAGTAGTCCGGATTTGGTGCAAATGTGGCGTCACGTTATGAAAGATTACTTTCCAGGGCTTGGCTTGTATGAATTAAATTATTTTTACTATTATTAATATTATTTTTATTATTTCAAGAAGGTAAAATACACATTTTTGATACGAGGGCATCAGCATTTTTCAATTTTTTCCTTTATTTTCGATATAGACTATACTTTACTGTACAACTTCTTTACTTTTTCATTATTTGTTAATAGGAAGAGAGTAAAATAGACCGCTTATTAAATGTGATTGTGAAATGCACATTGGTATAAATGAAGTTGTTTTTTGATTACCACACATTTATGTCGAAACAATTTGAACATGAGGTTTTTTTTTTGCTTTGAATTGGCAAATTATTTTTATGTATTTGCACCTGTATGTATTTCGCTCTGTTGTTATTAGATAGTGTACCATAGCATTCATGTAAATATAGATCAGTTATTCGATGCACGCGCTTTCGTGACTTGTAAGTGAACTCTACAATAATCAGAGTTTTCTGGCTTTTATTGACAAGCTCTCTAGCGCCCCCAAGCAAAGAAACTCTCATTTTGACCCTACCATTCATACTTTACTTTAATTTTCATGTCTGAATCAATGGCTGGTCAGAAAAAAGTTCGAAAGTCCTGTTCAGTTAAATTAACTGAATTCAGAATTGCAGATTTTGCAATTTAATGTGAATGTTAAAAAATATATAAAAAATACATAAGTTTTTCACTGCTTTCCAACAATACAATGTCAGTGAAACAACGAAATTATATTAAATCATTTTAAATCAAACTTCAGTCTAATAGCTTATGAAGTTTAAAATATAAGCCTATGCCTACATTCTGTGATCAATAATCAATATATTTTGTATTAAAAGTTTCGAAATTATATATTTCATTCGTTTTTAGCGAAACTGTCGAATTATTTTCTCCCTTAATGAATTATTTTCATTATATTTTAAATAATTCACTCAATGCAAAAATTTCGATTAATTGAGAAAGACCAAATCTGCATACAAAAATAAATCTGTATCTTGGTTAACGTAGCATGGGGGGAAATAATAATTTAAACGCTTTATATCATCTGGATCATGTGCATGCATGGGAATCACATACATGTAGCCTATATAAAAAATGTATATATTTAATTTAAAATTAGATTTGACTCTGGTTCTTTAGTTCATCAGTTGTTCGGCTTTGACCCGCCTGAACGAGTCGCAAAGCAAGGTGAAACACGGGTCACGCTGTCTAACTAATGCAAATCAAAAACACGTAGGCTATTAAAACGCACATTGTCTTTATGCTTGGTAAATATAAATGCATACAAAAATTAATTGCTATATTAAACAGCTAATATCACTCATGCTTTACCTGCTAAAAAGTAGAAAGAATTGCATCTCTTTTAAATCAATAGCCTATTATTTTGTTCTAAAATGCTATAATCATCTGTACGTTTTAAAATCATAATCCATAATATTTTATCAAAATTAACAGACAGATAATCAAATAAATCAATGCAAATCCATTCGACTTTTAATCTGCTTGTTTTAAGGAAATTATGGTAAATTCCTATACGAAACGAACTTGAAGTTAACATCGCTGTTTAAAGAAGTAACAATAAAAATAGATAACTGTTCAATTCCTACGCGGGAAAATGTTGAGCGTTCTTGATTCGTAATTTTTGAACGGATCCTATGTTTATTATATGTGAGCGGGTGGGAATGACCACAGGAGCTGCTTATCTGAGAAGGTCATGTATTATCCATGAACTTTTCTTCTTGTTCCGCTACCGCTGTCGCCATACCAAAAATAATGAAACTTTGTGATGTGTGTTGTAAATGATTCTGCTTGACCTCTCGACCTCTAGCCTTCCTTTATATGCTTCTTCACGTGCAGCACACGGTTTAAGGCTATACCTGATCAATGACAGCATCTGGCACTAAAGCCGTATACCTGGATCTGGATGAATATTGCGCATATGGTGTTGTTAGACATAGGCCTAAAGAATTAAATAATTAGTTACAGAATTGGTTAGATTAGTTAACTATAAAAATATGAACGCATTAGGCTACACGAGGTCTGAAAATTGAGCTGCGGGCCTCTTTCTGGAGATTTTTTTGCTCCTAAAAACATTAATAAAAGAGTATTGAAAAAAGTACGGAACTTTTATTTTTTTTAATTTTTTTTTTTAAATCAAGGCGAACCTTGAAGAAACACTCGCAACACTTGATGTTTGAGGTAGAATAACGGCTTCATTGTAGCTATATAGATTATTTTTTCTTAGACATTTTGTTTGTTGAGCGAATACATGTCGTCGTCTATATATACCCTGTAGAACCGAATTTGTGTGAAAGACTGACAGTCACAGATTCGGTTCTAGGGGAGTATATGGTCGATGCAAGAACTTCGTCTTATGTTCGACCGCTGAATGCTTTTGCCATCCAATGTACGGGCAATATAGACTATGCAATGTGATTTGGAAAATGGCAGCTGGCAGCGAAGAACCACTTTCGTACAATGAAGACGCATATAATTACATAATATGATTATGTGGTTGGACTCGGGGAAAGCTTTGATCATGTACACGCTTCTACCTGTTCTTACTGAAACAAGTCTCTTTAACCATTTTTGAATCTTACAAAATGTGTGCATATGAATAGAATAGAATATGTGGTTACACTTTATTTTAAGATGTCCTTATTACAGTGTTTATAGTGCGTGTGCACAATTTAATTATGGTTAAGATTTGGTTCAGGGTTACTTGCACGTAACTAATTGACTGTTATTACTAGTGTAAGAATAGTGTTGCCGAATACTATTTTGTGCCTTTCTTGTAGGACAGAGAGCACTAAATAATATTAGCAATATTTTGTATGGATGTGAACTAACTTTGCACATCCATGTACTATGCCCCTGGTCTTACCTTAAGAACTGGCAAGCGTTTATTGTCTTTTCTGTGGTGTTTGATTATTGATTGGCACGCGCATTGATGGCGAACCAGGGCGCGCTATACAGAAAGCTGAAAGGATGAGAAGCGCTGGAATGATGAGACTCCAGTAACTTCTAAGTGACCTCTACATGACAAAGACGCTCTCCAGCAATTGTCTGCTGGCTTTATGTGACTCTTTTTGTGCCTTGGACCGTTTTTTATCTTTTGTCTTGTTTTGTTTTTCACCACTTGGGTTGAGTTTGATTTAGCTTAGTTGAATATTAATTTACCTATTGGGCTTCATGCACATATATGTGGTGCAAATGCATGCTTTCATATGATATGGTAAATAAAGTTTTTTTTTCACTTATAGAAGAACCTTTCAGTGAACAGTTCTTAAAATAACAATTTTTCTTATTGTGAAGATCGTTCTAATAATGCAAAGATCATTTTCCACTATAAAGAACCGTTTATGGAATATAAAGATTCTATAGATGTTGAATGTTCTTCATGGAACTCTTGATGTCAGAAAAGAACCTTTATTTGTAAGAGTGTGAGATCCTCCCATGCCCACAATGTCTCAAAAGAATGTTTTTTTCTTCTTCGTACACAGACCGGGTATTTAATCAGTTCAATTTTATATTATATTATCACCATACTAATTAAAAGATAATGTGAAGTTTGTGAAAATCACTACTAGGTGTGCACAGCTTCTTCTCTGTTGATGAAGTCCCTCGACCTCGATTGGCCGAGCTGGTCACATGGTAGCCTAACTTTATTCAGTTGACAGCAAGTAGGAGGGCTTTATGGAGGGAGGAAAAAAAGACAACTCGAGAAAAATTAGTATTTCCTACCTTCAGAAATTAATGGCCATGAGTTCGTACATGGTGAACTCCAAGTATGTGGATCCAAAATTTCCTCCTTGTGAGGAATATTCTCAGACCAGCTATATACCTGAAGAGAGCCCGGGCTACTACAGTCCGTCGCAGGACACTGGTTTCCAGCATCCCGGACTCTACTCACGGTCAAACTACTCTGAGCAGCCTTACAGTTGTAACACTGTCCAGGGCTCATCGGTTCAGCAGCGGGGTCAAGCGCAGGATCAAGCCGGCCAACACAACCCTTTCCCCGCACAGACTGAGCAGTGTCCCGCGGTCCAAATATCCGGACAACCGCAAAACACAAAGAGCCAGAACGGGATAACAGCCAAGCAGCCTGCTGTGGTTTACCCATGGATGAAGAAAGTGCACGTTACTACGGGTAAGATTCACTCTCTTGTAGGCCAGTCCTGTTCTGCTGTTTTAGCCACAGTTAAAACCATTCAGTGAAATATTTATGGGTTCCTCTGAAGGGGCCGCCAATTACACCAGCCATAAATTTTTATTGCTTAGGAAATAGGCCGCTAGCTGTGTTGGCCACTACTGTAGTCCACTTGGCCCGAAGCTTTGAACTGAATCCTTTAGTAATGATGAACTTTAATTAATGCACCTAAACTAAAATTAGACGAGTTCTGAGAATTTGTTCGATCAAGTTCAAACGAGCGGGCATTGTTTTTATTTTTCAAAATTTCAAATGAGCGATTTTTTTGTTCCTTTTTTTTTTCTAACAGAAGTGTGTTTTTGTCTTTCTCAGTCAACCCGGATTACACAGGACCTGAACCCAAACGTTCTCGGACAGCCTACACAAGACAGCAAGTTCTCGAACTAGAGAAGGAGTTTCATTTTAACAGGTATCTAACGAGACGGCGTCGCATTGAGATCGCGCACACCCTCTGTCTCTCTGAACGACAGATTAAAATCTGGTTTCAGAACAGAAGAATGAAATGGAAAAAGGACCACAAACTCCCTAACACGAAGGGAAGATCGGCGTCAGTTGGGAATCAGCATGCACAACACGCTCAGAAGGACAACCAGACAGAGATCACAACTTTATAAGTGGATATCTCTTTCCCCCCAGATGTACAGATCAACTGTATGTAATAGACAATGCTTTATTTGACATTGCATGGTAGCAAATCATGACATGTTGGGTACAAGTGCCAAAAACTGAGAAGAAGCACACACTACGACTAAATGCAGCGTGAAAACTGCTATGCGTTAAATATTTCAATTTCCAGTATTGTAACCGTTTGTAACTGAAGCAACGAGGATATGAGGTTCACATGCCACAACGAGGTACAGAAAAACGTCAGAAAGCTCACGCTATTTTACACAAACTTGCCAGTTTTTTTTTCTTTTTCTTTTTTTTTGGAAGAGCATGGTTCTTTTTAGTGACAATTAAAAAAAAAAACCTCTGTATTTTAATCTCCCCTTATCTCTTTTCAAACTCATTGTGGCAAGTTTACGCCTATGGCGCGTCAATTTATCTTAACTTAATCATTGAAGAGAACTCAAGCAAGGAAATGTCCAGCGTATAATAAATTATGATTTTTTTGTGCTTGAGTCAACTGGGTGCAAGTAATAAAAACTAAATAAAATTAGTTAATGATAAGAAAGAAAAAACGTTGCCTGAGAAATTATTTATTTGTAGACTGAAAAACTGAAGAAATTTCATTCTGAACCTCGCGTGTGCTGTGCGCGCCTTTTAAATGTTTACTTTCTAAAAGACTATTTCAGTCAAGTAATTTTTAACTTGTGCGTGATTTTTAAGATTTTCGTTATAGGTGTTTTACAATTGTTTATTGCAGCTTTTTAAAAAAGACATATATAACACAGAAAAAAACGAATATCCCATGCCTTACTTCACTATAAATCCCTCCCGACATCTTCGTAAACAGTATATCTGTCTTCCGAATATTACCTGAAAGTCTTGAAAAGCCGCTTTTTATTTTCCATTTTTAGACACGTTTAGCCCTGAAGATGTTTGAACTTTCTATTTATTAAATATGTTAAAAGCTTTATGTTCTATGAGAACGTACTTTTCCGTTCCATAATTAGCTATCGAATTCAGTTTTTTTTAAGTTCTTATATATGTGTATATATTTCTGTATATTGTGCATATTTTCTACAGGCATATTTTGCAGTAATGAAATAAATATTATGCAGAGAGGTTTCACTCAAACTGCGTCGTATTGTGTTGACTCAAGAAACTCATGAGATAGGACAAACACGTTTTCTCAAGCACTTTCATACACACTGTTATTTTATTAGTATTATTTTTTTACTTTAATTTTTATTTTTAAAAGGGATTGACGTCGAATCTGGAAATGGCTTTCCAGCAGTGATTAAACTCAGACGCTCTGCTATCTTTGTGGTGTCTTTGTCTCCTTAAACAAAAACACGAACCATACATGCATTGCGAAGGAGTCTTCACACTGAAGCCTTCACGTTGTGAGCATGAAAAGGTATTTTTACAGAAGTTCAACAAAAGCCTTGCGGGCAGGTTCATCCAGAGGACAGAGTTTCTGTTGCATTAGACGCTTTTGAGCCGCGAGCACTGACCTCTACACCCGTGACCTGATGGACCTTCAGCCGCTTCTCTCAGACGCCTTTTTGCACACAGATGCACCAAAAAAGTGTTTGTGTGCTCTGTAGTAGCCTAACATTTGCTTTTTAAACGGTGATTATTTGCCACAAAGCGTTTAACTTTTTCGAATTTGTTATCAGATTTTGCTTAACATTAAAAAAGGGCTATCCCGCACCTTACAACGTGGTATGTTACGTTGATTGCGATTATGATGAAAACTACAAATCATAAATAAACCACCATATGTTTTGCTTCATTAAACGAAATATTTCATGTCAAAGCTTTATTGATAAACCGTTCATGTAGGCATAGAGGGTCCTCTGCTCTTTATGGAGAGAATTATGAGCAAGCAATATGGTTGTTTTTACATAACACCAGAGTTCTATCTTTTAAATATTAATCAAATTCATTTTTTGTTTTTAGCGTTGTCCATCAGCACCGACATTGTGTGTGCTTGGTGTGTGAGTGCGTTTAGCTATCCCGTCATGTATTATATTTAACTATATATTTGGGGATACATTTGTAGCCAGAAGTTAGATAAACCTGACAAAATCTCCCAAAATCTCATTTTAGTAAAAAAGTAAAGTAAATGAAGTTCGTGGATTACGATTAGGCTATATTTAACTTAGTTGTAGCCTATGTAAAAATAAAAGAAGTCTATGCAATGTTCCCATGTTGATAGTTTAGTGTGTGTGTGTGTGTGTGTGTGTGTGGCCTACGTTGTGGGGACCAAATGCCACAACGATAGTAATACCATTCATTTTTGACCTTGTGGGGACATTTTTTGGTCCCCATAAGGATCCAGATTATAAATCATAGGCTACTGTGAGAAAATGTACAAATGCAGAAAGTTTTGTGTGATGGGTAGGGTTAAGGACAGAATATACATTGGCCCCCTAAAACATGTAAAAATGCTGAGTTGTTTTAACTCAACTTTGGGTCAAATATGGACAAACCCAAACGTGGGGTTAAAAATGTAACTAAAAAATGTAACCCAATTTGTCCATATTTGACCCAAAGTTGGGTTAAAACAACCCAGCATTTTGTAGAGTGTGAAGTGTGTGTGTTTGGTGGAGAGAGGTTGCGCTTGCAAGAGAGAATATTTGCTATTATTTTATAAACTTTTTTTTTTAAAATTGAGGTTCACATTTAATGTGAGTATGTGTGTGCGTGTGTGTTTAATGTAGACTACTTTATAAATGACCAATGCATTGTCAATGTAAAGACACTTGAGTCAGAGAGAGAGAGAGAGAGTTAGAGAGAGAAAAACAGAGATTATAATACCACCAACACACCTCCAGGACAAAATGTAAAGTTTATTACAGCTTGAATAGGCAAAACATTAACAAACAATCATGTTAGATGTGTCATGTGTCATAGGCTATATATCATTTAGCCTATATATATATATATAGTTTGATTAAAAAGCCTTTGAACCCTTGTGAAAACACGCAGGGGATCTCTCCATTGTCTTTCAGTACCAAGACATTCTGAGTATTGACCTGGATGTCTGAACAGAATAAATGGGAGCCATACGCGGTTCCATTTGCAATGACTCTGCATCACCGACTATACCGCCGCTCGCACAATGCGAACTCAAACGGCCATTTTTGATTTCCAGCTGTTCGGTGAAAATGTCTTCGCCCATCGAGAAAACCCGTTAAGATAAATCAACCTGCGCTGTCGACATCCCAAGATAGAATTCGGTGTATGGTTCCGTTCTGTATCTTTTTTGTTTGACCACGTGATTGTCTAAATAATTAATGCAGCACGTCCCCTAGAAACCCGGCGTCGTCATTAATCGCGAGGACTCTATCAGACTTGAAAACTGAAGAGATCCAAGAAAATAATATCCAAACGGTCCCGTATCTCACACCACCGCAACCGTACAGCGTTTCAGCCAATGGAAGATCGGTAGGTAAACATTTAAGATTAATATTTGCTGTAAGACATCGAATAAACATATCTGTCAGAATTTTGATAAATGGTGTCCTTTGATTCAGTCTTCCTCGCGGACTGACTGAAACAACTTCAGGCTCATTGTGATTTTTTTTTTCTTTCTCAAATAGCTTCAGCGTGGAGCACAATCTTGTGTCAATGAATAACAATTCTTCAGTAACAACACTTTTACTTTTGAAGCATTAAATGCAGGCTTTTTGCATTATTGCAAAAAATTGCTTATTGATGCATCTGTGTAGCGATAAAAAATGTGAAGTCCAGTGCGAGAGTGTTTAGGGCTTTAACGAAGGCCTATTTGTGATTTATAATCCGTCATGCTGTTCTTTACGATTCAGCGGTGAGCATTTGTGGAGACGTGGTTTGATAAAAAAAGGACACAAGCTTGAATTCATTGTAGAAGTCTGGGAAATCATCACATAGTTATGGCATGAAGAATTGCCTGAATAAGTGGATTTTGCATCCTGACAAACGTTAACAAAACAGCAAATTATTATATATATTTAAAAAAAAGGCATGCATCCAAATAGAATTTCTTTGGTGACAAAACTCCACTTGTTTTTAGTAATGGTGCATTGTGATCGTAGATCTATCCAAGTGTTTGGAGCTGTTGGAGAGGGATGACGGTGATCTGCATCGTTGTAAATCATGCTCAGTAATTCCTGAAAGGGTGAGAGGCTGTTGGGGGCCGGGCGTGGACTGTAAATCTTTCACTTTTATTAGCCCGTGAACATATGCTGCAAGGGGAGAAGACTCGCATCCTCTCCTCAGGACAATCCTGCGCTCGGCCGCCTTCCCAGTCGTTTCATCTCCATCTTTCCATCCAGTACATATCCATAAAGCACAGCCATAAAGCAAGCATTCGGACTCGGACTATAGCCTACACAACCTCACCGGCTTGCATTAACCGCTTTGATCATTTTACGTTAAAAAGAAAAAAAAAGTGAAGGGTGAGAGAGTTTTAATGTATTTGAGGCAATTAGAAAACACAATAAAACAAAAAAAAGTATTTTAATGCACAATTATACACTCTTAAAAATAATGGTTCTGTATTGGTATCGACGGTTTCATAACATTCATGGAACATCCAGTGTTCTTTATAGTGGGACACTAAGGGAAATTAGTATTTTTATTTTAAGAACCGATCACTGAAAGGTTCTTTGGGGAACCGAAAATGGTTCTTCAATGCCATTGATGCTAAAACACCCAGTTGGAAGCTTTATTTTCCAAGTAGTAAAAATCTAGACATTGAAAATACTTATTTTTACACTTCATACTCACATATGGGGATCAATACACACTCTTGCTTTTTGAGAAGAACAATATAGAATTTGGGATGATTTTGATGAATCTCTCTGGCTGACGAGGTCATACATTGCTGTCATTGCCGAAACCATAATAGTCAAACAATATTTCAGAGGTTTCCCGGATTTCTTTTCAAAACAGCGAGCAAAAAGGAACATATTAAATAATCTTAAAGAAATAAAAACCATAATGTTGCTGCTTTCAAAGATTGTCCGATCCACATGCCCATAAGACTGTGTTAAATAAAAATAGTAATAATAAAAAGGAAATAAATAAAAATAAGATATTTAATTAAGCACAATGGACTGAAGAATAAAAATCTAATGATTGCGCGGATTATACAAAAAAATGGTCTTTCAAATAAAGACAACATAACGATAAAACAAATGTTTTGTGTGTCTTTTGAACGTCTGTTTTTATTATTCTTTTATTAAGCCTGGGTTGCAAAGCTATAACAAACCGCAATAGCATTTGCCTTATAATGACACACTCCGATTCAGTGACTGAGATCTTGTGCAAAATCATTGTACAATGATGTGCGGCTGGAGGGAATGTTAGTGTGCTCCTGCTTTTTAAATGTATTTGTGAGGTGAAGCTGGTTGGAGTAGCAGTCTCAATCAGGACAATCTGCGATCGGGATCACGTGAACAAATATGCTTGTATTTTAAGGCAGCGCCTGTATTTGTCATGATAAGGTTTCCGAAATATAGTAATGTCGACTGGTTCGGTGAGCCTGCCTCTGTAAAACCTTCATTTTTTTTCCAATGGGAAGTTGATTGCTAGTAATATTTCGTTTTGGAATAAGAAGACCTTCTTGGCTTTTTATTGGTAGCTGAGTGAGTGGCTCCCATTCTTTCGGGAATACTGTCTGCATTGGTATATGGAAATGACTGGAAAAGCGCGAGATCAGATTTAAGACAGTACTGTCTTTAGACAAAGGGTGAAGGATATATCCGAGCAGCTGTACTGAGATATATTGAGACTAAGAAGCACGGCTATATAATAAATTGACATCACAGGTAAGCAATTGCACGACAAAACGTAACCTTTAAGCGTGGGTTTACACATTAGGCCGGCGTAAAAATATGATTTATTCCATTCAAAGCAGCTGATCTTTATTAATGTCATTGCCTACCAACTAAGCAAGTACGATTTGAAGACATAGAGGTAAAACTGCAAGACTATAGTTTTTCAGCTTTGCGCAACCTTGTCTGTTTTTTTGAGGTTTTACATGCAAGGTCATTTCAGTCATGCAGTTTTAGAGTTGCTATTTCATTTTACATATTGTGGTAGCTGAGTTAGCCATGCACATGATAAAACATCTGTGTCATACATTGTGAGATCGTTAATCACTTTAATTTGTGTTATAGTCAATGCGATTTTAGACATGACATATGTGGGTTAGGGTATTATTTTAAGCATCATGTTTCCATTTAAACCAGTGTCTCTGATTTGGATTGTAATTTATTCCAAATTATTTGGATTCAAACAACATTACATGCATTTTGAATGGAAAGCATATGATATAAGAGCAAAAATTCATTTAAGATGAAAATATTAATTAAGATGTAAAGTTGATTTTTTGACACAAAAGCATGCTGTGCAATGACAATCTAGAACTAATATGGTGGTTATAATATCAGGCTTATATATTTTTATCTCCAAATTAAATTTGGTCTTCTAAGCCCGTTTTGCAATTGAGCTCTATTTCCGGAATGGTTATTACAAATAAATAACAGATTTTCAGACAAGCGCTTTTGATTAGCCTATTTTTAAATAGTAACTGTTTCATATGCATTTCACAAAACGTTCAGTTCTGTCCTTGCATTTGCAATATCTTACCAATACGTCGAGGCTCAATCACAAACGTATATGTTTTCGATTTACTTGATTTGTGAGATGATTCGGGATTTTTCCCTCCATTAAGCTAAGCTAATTAATGCACACATTATTTACATTACAACTTCACTAGGGCCTAAAATGATTGCATATAAAACAGTTTTTCTACAAAAGAGATGCATGCAAATTAGTAGCAGATATATACATGTATATATTTACAACCCGACTTCCAGAGTCCATTATTCTTTACCACCCATTGTTCTATTATGAGTACCAAACTTACCGTGGGAGTGCGTGGGCGAAAACACGCTCGCCTGATAAAGGCAGACCTTGTTCGGCTGACTTGTTCGCTACATTTATCCTATTAAGACTTTGAACGTGACACACCAGTTTAAAACACAGGCTATACGTGCATTCTCTTGTTTTAGTTACATTTGCCAACGTAGCGGTCCATCGGCAAATAACAATAATAGTAATAGTAGTATTAATCCCATAGGCTAGTTGAAAGGTGTTGTCCTCGTCTCATGTTTTCGAAAGGATTTTCAGAGTGAAACAGAACAGGTCGTCTGTCTGGTAGGATGAGGATTAAAATCTCGTCTTCAGGCTCGCGCTTGGTTTTAAAATCACCGGTGAAAAAGTTGTGTGGTGTGGATTGCATTGTGACTTGAGTCCCTTCCGTCCGTTGTTCATTAATCAGTGAGTTATTGGAGAGGAAGCCAAAGGTCACCCAAAAGGCTTATGAGTGCTAAATATTTTGGCCAGCATCTCTTTGTGTAAAATCGCTTATGTCGTTTTTTTCCCCCTTCTTCTCTCACTCCCTCTCTCTCTTTCATGCAACTACATCTTTTACTTCTCTCAAAACCAGTCTAAACTTCCAGGGGCGAAAATAAATTAGTTCATTAAATAAACGGGACATCATGTAAATATGTTATAAATGTGTGGTATCGTCGCTGATGGCCGTGAATTCACATTCAGAATGAAAGACTCAACCATAGCTGTCATTTTGCAAACGTAACATACTCGGCAGTATAACGCATTGAATCTATTAGAACAGCCCTTTTTTAAAAAAAAACGGGGAGCTGGAGGAAATAAAAAGAACAACAATTAAAATCATTTTTATTCTTTAGGTTGCCGTATAAATTATGAAGATTGCTTGAGGAGAAAGAGGGGAGAGGAAACCACAGACTGCGGTAAGAGATGTCTATATATTTAAGTTTGCACTGAAGTGAAACAATAGTATGTATTACTTAGCTATAACCTGTCGTTTACTCATAACTCTTGTGACGCCATATTTCATTGCTTGCAACACAGCCCATTAAAACTTATGGGCCAGAAAAAGAAAGAAAAAAAAAAAACGTGTTAAATTAAAATTCATGTGTCGCTCTGAGCTTAGACAACATTTTAACAATTTAACTTAACAATTATTTACATGTTTTTTCCCATGCAATTTTAAGTGTACACTTACATCTAGAGCAAAGTAGGAAATATAACATGCAATAGCAATGCTATCTCGCTGATATAGAGAAAAAACAAAACCAAAAAGCATGCGTGCAAAAACCAAAACAAATATTCCCATCCGAACCGCACTGTCTTCTTAATTTTTAGTATCCTCTACTAAAATCCACGGCTATCCGCGCAATTGGTCAAAGTATGTTCCATTACATGTAGTTAAAGAAGGTTGAAGACAAGAGTGAGTGAATTAGTGCAGTAGCTGGATTTATACCGGCGGGCTGTGGGATCTGCTTGTAGCGGGACATTCTTGCCCCCAGCCATCCTCCTACGCTTAGAGTTTTACCACTCTGATGGTCCCAAGTCTTGAGGAGTGCTTTTCTTCTCGCCCCTCTGTGAGGCATTTACGGCTCTAGCATGGCCACTCATAAATTTAGTCGGGCTCTACAATGACAGGTGCATTGATATGTATCGTGCGGAGCTTCAGGCCGTCTAATAACTACTGTATTGAGCACGAGCTACAGTCACTTGGGCGAAAACCTATCTTGAAAGAAAGAAAGAAAGAAAGAAAGAAAGAAAGAAAGAAAGAAAGAAAGAAATCTGTTTGGTGTGGTGTATGCTCTCAGTTTGTGGAAGGACTTTTGCTACATTCGCATTCTCGGTAATCCATCTGATTTTAAAACTCAAATCGGCGGGAAACACGCCTAACATCGAAGCTATGTCATAAGATTAAGTACCAATTTAAAGTTTAATAGTGTTCCAAAGGGCTTTATAATAAACTAATATAATAAACTAAACATTATACATGGTTTACATGTATCAGGTACAATATTATAGAAATCACAAAAAAGAGACGTTTGGTTATTTAGGCAACTTTCTTATAATCTATTTCGCGGAAATGCATTTGTAGGCCTATGCATTTTGTTTATAAAGATTGTAATTTCGTATAATGTTCACAAAGAGCAACAGACCAGTTATATCAAAATTCAACAAAAATCAATCGATTAACTTTATTAATGTGAACCGATCAAACTATTAGCCCGAATCTCTAAGTGGTTTCAAACTACGTTAAATATGTAATTCCAGGACCACCAACGTCTCATTTCTCCCCGTTATGCTACGAGTAGATATTTCTATCGAATATATACGAATATATTTAATATAGAATGTTTTATGTTCTATTCTATTGAACGACCCCCCAAGATGTCTAGTAGTGAGCAACGAGTCGGGGAAGAATGGGATATTGTTTGAAGAGAAATGCTGATTCTCCTTCTGCTGCCGTCTCGTTTCACTCAATGGGGTACTTTTAGCATAAGTTAAATTTTAACCGTCTTGTGTCATTCTTGCCTAGAGTTCTGAAAGTGAAAAGATGAAGGGGTTTGACTAGTCAAGAATAAAGAAAAACAGAGAGAGAGAGAGAGAGAGGGGCCTTGCGAAAAATGGCTGATCACAACATGAGATCTTTTACTATGGTGAATGGTGATTTGTTTATGTTTTAAACATTCTAAAACATAAAAAATAAAGAACAATGGTGCAATACTGTGTACAATTTGGCCTTTTCCCAACCTGATTTGCAAAGAGGCAGAGCAACAAGTTTTGACTAAAGGCACTTTCACAAGATAACAATAAGAAACTAATGCTAAGTTTAATAGTCCAGCTGAGGAAGCCACATAGAATGAATACCACCCATTATCTTTGGCATTAAGAAGAAAAAAAAAAAAGGAAACAATAAAAAAGACCACATTTATGAAATCTAAAAAGTTAGGGGGAATAGGGAATATTGCTTGACATCTGACACCAGAAATTGCAGAGTTCAGAGAAATGTATTTCCATCTCATATTTAAAAAGTGAAAATGCTACGGGCTGTTTTCATTTGCAGTGGGGTCTGGTTCGCCTACATGTTGTTAAGACTTGAAAGGGACTATAAATCTGTAAATTCAAATATGGATGTTTTTAAGTGTTTGGAATCTCACCTCAACGATTGTTTCAAGTTAAAATGGCAAAATCTTTTGCTAAAACTGATTCATTTTCTTTCTCAGCAGGTCAAAGGACAGAAAATCTGTGGGAAGCCCCAATCACGTGATTGACAAGTCCATGCAACAGGAGTTCACGGGCTCTCTTAGTTTGAACCTTCACAATGCAGAAAGCCACTTATTATGACAATGCTGGACTTTTCGGAGGATATTCGTACCCTAAATCTGACTCCTATACATATGGTTCTACACACCAAGGCTTCTCATCCTCCAGCATAGAGAATGACTATCAAAATTCAATCTGCCCCATTCAAACCACATCAGTCCGACCACCAGCACATAAAAACGGAGACATCAATGGAAGTTGTATGCGACCAAGTGCCAGCCAGGGCAACAGCCAGCCAGAGAGTATCAGCGAGCAACAGCAGGCCGCTCCTTTAGCAGCCAGCTCACCCAGTCCAAACACCAACTCTACACAAAAAAAGAAATCCCCCAGCTCCACTGGCTCCAGCACTGCCACCCCAGTCATCACCAAGCAGATCTTCCCATGGATGAAAGAGTCCCGCCAAAACGCAAAGCAGAAAAGCACCAACTGCCCGACCGCAGGTATGTGTGTGGCCAACCCGAAATCTACCCAGAGCTGCACTTGCAGACAGCTATTATCATTTTGTTTGCCTTTCTTTGGCCTTGAAATCATGTTACACGATTAATCCATTGCACATTTCTGCTCCCTGTGTTCAGGAGAAGCCTGCGATGACAAGAGTCCACCTGGCCCTGCCTCGAAGCGAGTGCGCACTGCCTACACCAGCGCCCAACTAGTTGAACTGGAGAAGGAGTTTCATTTCAATCGCTACCTGTGCCGTCCCAGAAGAGTGGAGATGGCCAATCTGCTCAATCTCACCGAGCGCCAAATAAAGATCTGGTTTCAAAACAGGCGGATGAAGTACAAAAAAGATCAGAAATCTAAAGGCATAATGCATTCCCCCCTAGGACACTCTCCGGACAGAAGCCCGCCGTTAAGTGGCTCGAATCACATTGGATATTCTGGTCAGCTTCCGAACAGCCTAAGCTACGACGCGCCATCTCCGCCGTCGTTCGCCAAACCGCAACAGAACATGTACGGGTTGGCAGCCTACACGGCGCCATTGGGCGGCTGCTTACCGCAACAGAAAAGGTACCCGGGAACAGAGTACGAGCACCACAGCATGCAGGGCAACGGCAGCTTTGCCAATGCGAATTTACAAAGTAGCCCTGTGTACGTCGGGGGAAACTTCGTTGACTCAATGCCAGCTTCGGGCCCCATGTTCAACCTCGGTCATCTTCCCCATCCCTCATCCGCTAGTGTGGACTACAGCTGTGCCGCTCAGATTCCGGGTAACCACCACCACGGACCGTGTGACCCGCACCCCACATACACAGACCTCAGCTCTCACCACGCGTCTCAGGGAAGGCTGCCCGATGCGCCCAAACTCACGCATCTGTAAGGATCCCAAGCGCAAAGTCGCTCTTTTATTACCTCACTAGTTAAACTAATTTATAAAACTACACTCTGAGAGAAACAAACCGTATTATCCTGTATTATTATTATTATTGATATGACTATTACTGATATGATTGTAATTATTTTTAAAAAAATAGCTGTGGTCCATTTCTCTTGACTGTTGACGATACACGCGGTTGTTTGTTGTTTGGTTCTTGGAAGAACCGTATTGGCGAAATGAGGGCAATTTCCATAACGTGTTACTTGAAGGTAAGTTCTGTAGATTTGACCGTATAGGCATCCGTCTTTATAGAGATGGGATTTGTAGAGGAAAAGAACCATTGCGTCTTTGTTCTTCTCACGGGTTCTTTCTATTTCTCCATTACAAATACCGTTATTTATTATTTCCATCCAGCGTTTATATTGACCGAGTATTATATTTATTATTTGTCGTTTGTAATGCACATTATTTATCTTCTCATGTATATTATTTATATAACAGTTGTAGAATTTATTTTTGAGCAGAAGCCGTTGAACTGGTGCAAAACAAGGTGATGCAATGTGGGACTGGTGTATTTCTTTCTTCATTCAGTAATAAAATATTGTGAAACTGAAGAATTAACAAGAATTTCGAAATTGTAATTATTGTTATTATAGGCTGCATTTGGGAATTTGGCAATCTTTCATTATTGCCATGGTAATGAACAATCACCAGCACGTTACGACACATCCTCACGTCCATTATAAATGTTATTTTGTGAGTTGCACTGTCCATGCATTAAATGATGAAATGGTAGCGATATGGAAATGTTATATTTTATTGTGTTAAACATTTTGTAAATAAAGTGCTTAAGCTAAACAAATGCAATTACAAATGCTACATCAATCATGCATTTTCATATTTAGGATCAATTGAAATTAGCATCTTCGTATTATTGTGTGGATATGAATAGATTTCCAACTTGTATATCGCCCAATTTACAAGGCGGAGGCGCCATTTTGGAAACATAAGGATTGTAAACAAAGGAGGCACCTTCTCTCTCTCTCTCTCTCTCTCTCTCTCTCTCTCTCTCTCTCTCTCTCTCTCTCTCTCTCTCTCTCTCTCTCTCTCTCTCTCTCATACTCCCATCCAGATGCGCGTGAATGTGCGCGCACCCGGCTGTACACAAAACACAATAGCAAACCTCACCAGGCATTGCAATCATTTAAAATTTGGTAATATTAAGAGACGCTCATCACCATATAATTTGAAACAGATTAACGAATGTTATATATATATATATATATATATATATATATATATATATGATTTGGGAAATTGGGAGATTTCACAGATACATTCCCCTCTGGTTATACCTAAATGTAAATAATGCCAACCTTTGCTAAACTGGTGCCATGTGCAAATCTAGATTTAAAATGTTGGCATTTTTTTCTTGAGCACTATTGTTGTAGCAATTTTTCAAGATTAAAGTATTACTAATCACGTTTTTTAATTGGATCTGAATGACAATTCTGATACAGAGCAAGTGTTTTGTCTTATAAACACTTTGATATAACATTAACCTATATAACATTAACCTACACCACTGCGCATGCATTAATACATATAGGTCTATGTATTTTAAAATGCACCTTATAATGTGGTAATGAATAGCCTAAAGCGGCACTGCTTTTGTAAGCACTGGCAAGCCGTCTCTAACAGAACAGGCTCTTTCCCGGCTTCCCCTAGCGAGGCATTTCAAAGCTCATTAATCAAAAACTCGTCGCTTTCAGTCTCGCTACTGATTCCAGCTCCTTATGAACAAAGCTTTTTGCTTTCTCAACTGTGGAAACACATTTCAAACTGCAAGAGGCCAAACTTTGTCCAGAGAGAGAGAGAGAGAGAGAGAGAGAGGGAGAGGGAGAGGGAGAGAGACTGTGACAACACACTCTGGCTTCAATGGTATTGGTATGGATGAGAGACAACTCAAAGCTGGAAAGAAAGAAAGATTGAGCTGCAAAGGTCTTAACCACTAAGGGTAAGGACATATATATAAATATTCCCACAATGTCGGTTCTAAATAAAATATCGATATTTAATCACGACTAGAAAAAAAATTGCACGGGAAAGAAAATGTATCCTGAACACAGATTCAAAGTTTTCCAATGGTGCACAAAATGTGGAAAATAAAGGTCTTTTATTATACAATGTGACATTAGATTAGTTTCCCGTGGCTATATGCAGGTTTGTTCATCCTAATGGAAGCAATAATGAATTGTTGGTTGCGCAAATTGAAATTATACCTCTTCTTATAGTCTTTTCTTTCATGATCATATTTTTACCCGCTTATTTTTAAGACTATATGCATTTCTATTCCTGTTTTGCCTACTTATAAACCGGTTGGATTTTACATTTTAATCGTATTGCTTAAAAAATAAAATAAAATAAAATAAATAAATAAATAAATATTTGATTTACATATAAACTCTTAAGGTTCCAAAAGGGGGTTTCCTCAGTGATTCTATTGAAGAACCATTTTCAGTTCAACAAATAACCTTTCAGTGATCCGTTCTTTGAGTAATTTCTTAATTTTAACAATCTATAAAGAATCGGTTTCCACGATAACAAACCTTTTGTGGAATGAAAATATTCCATGGATGTTAAAGGTTATTCGTGGTTCCGTTGTTGCCAATAAAGAACATTTATTTGCAATAATGAACAGGTAGAATTTTAATAAATAGGTACATGAAAAAAAAAGTTATAATAAAAAAGTGAGTCCTTACATCTTTCCTCTTCGGCATTAAGGGCTAACATGTACAACTTGAGAAATAGAAATAAAATAAACAAAGTGCCTATTTTACTTTTGCGGTTCACAGAGAGATTAGGACAAGACCATTTTTAGCTCATTTGGACCATCAATTGGAAGTCGGATCAAAGAGCTCCAGATGCTTCTTATTTTAGGTAGGCCTAATGCTTTTTCATATATCTCAATGACGGACACAGCCACAAACAGGCCTATTAAATTGGACTAGCAGGCAGTGGATTTTCAGTTCATTGTCCATCGATGTCTAAAACACCAGGCGTCATTTGCGATCTGTTAAATTTGGGATTTAATCCCGTGCTTGTCTTATGGATTCAGAAAAGCACGCTTTGACTTAATTTCCTCTAGAATTAATTCCACATAAGTTCTGAGAAAGCTGAACCGCGCGGTGGCTCATATTATTTGTTATGGGCTTTGAAATAAAGCAACCAATGAACTGATCCCACGTATATTTCTAAACAAATGTGACCAATTACGCTTTATTTCACTCTGTATCGGCTTACAATAGGCGCTCGATAACACGTTACAGAAAAGGAGTCGCAGTTTGAGTGCTGCAGTTGTCATGGGTATTTGGTAGCTTGAGCTCATCAATCACTGATTGTGCACAATTTTCCTCGACAGCAGTTCCGAGTCTTCCGAGGGGAGAAGCCAGATGCGCTGCGTCTATCTTCAGCTCAAAAGAGACAAAAACCGCACAACCAAGCACTCAATTCATCACGCGATTTAATGATGAGAGAAGCATTTCTTTTATTTATTATTTTAACTTTTTATGATTGTCGTAGGCTACAAAGCACACAATATTGAAATGCACGACAAAACTATCAACCATTTTAGATTAGGCTATAGTTTGGTATATTAATTCATGCATTTTAATTGAATGCCAATCCTGCAAAACAATTCAGTTTGCAAAGCAAATCGTTTCTTGCAAAGATGTTGGGGTGGGTGGGAATAAAGGGGTATGTGAAAGCATAATAGTCCAACGATATACACTGAGCACTATAGGCTCAACACATGGGTCGCTCTCGATTGGTCAGAGGAAGGGGAAGCCCCTCCCCTCGTTGTTGTAGGCAATATTTACATGTTGAGCCACAAAGTACAGTAATGAAGACAGGCGACGCGAGCTATCATTCACCGTTTAAAGTGGTGCTTTAAGAGATATAATGACCTCGTTCTTCAACTGTTACCCAGGTGGGAACTTTATGACTTTCACGGCCAAGCACTGTCAGGATCAGAGAAAGACTGCGGCCCGTCTTACCCCGGAGGCACCCGACTGACGAGAAGCATTCTGGATCATCATGTCAACACCCGATTAACCTCGGACAAGGTTCTTTTCAAGTGCGTTATGATAGAAATGCTAGTGTTGGCTCACACGGGTCCCGAACGCTTTGAGATGTTTAGCCTATACGCATGCAACACGGAACCCTTTTCAACGAGCATTGCATAACTCTGGAGAAATATGTTAGTTAAAGGGATACTCCACTTTTTTTTTTTTTTTTTTTTTAAATAGGCTAATTTTACCTCTCCCCCAGAGTTAAACAGTTGAGTTTCACCGTTTTCAAATCCATTCAGCCGATTTTCTAATATTTAGAAGAATATCAGTAACCAGAGAGTTTCTGGTCTCATTGACTTCCATAGTAGGAAAAAAATATACTATGGAAGTCAATAAGACCAACTGTCTGGTTACTGATATTCTTCTAAATATCAAAAAATCGGCTGAATACATTAGAAAATGGTAAAAAAAACCCCAACTGTTTAACTCTGGGTGAGTGGTAAAATGAGCTTATTTCCCCAAAAAGTGGAGTACCCCTTTAAGGCAAAGCGACACAACAACTATGCATGCTAACGCGCAGTGTGGCGGGTCCCAAAGTTTCTCTCAGTCTCGGTGGGTCGCGGCAAGTCTTGGAGATGGGAGCAAAAACGTTTTCCGTTTGCATAGCCAACCTATATAATAAATGATGTCCGTATTACAATTGTCTTTTTTGCAGGTAACAGGCATGCCGCACTAATTTCACCAAACAACTCCCTGAACTGGAGAAGGAGTTTCAGTCCCACAAGTACCTGGGCGAATCTAGAAGATATCTCGCTGTGCACCCGAGCGAGACTCATCTGGTTCCAGAACAGGTCCATGAAGCAGACGAATAGAGAGAGAAGGAAGGCCTGCTCCATCACACTGCTCTCGCTGTCACGATTCTAGAACTAAATCAAACCATCAGTGACAGTTCATCCGAACCTCATGGTGTGGATTTTACTGTCTGAATGCCCTTATAGATTTGCTTAATGTAAAAAAAAAAAAAAAAAAATGATAAGATCAATAAGTTATGACAATATGTGAAGAGTTCAGATGCAAAAGCCTCTAAATGCCATTTGAAATTTTCTTCTTTAATGATGATTTTTATCAAACTTGTATATTTAAGTTCAGTAATTTCACTTAAATAACAATTAATAGGTAATCTTCATTGCCATTTAAGTGAAATTACTGAACTTAAACATACAAGCTTGATAAAAATCATCATTCTAGACAATTTCAAATGGCACTTAGAGGCTTTTGCATCTGAACTCTTCATGTGTTTTCTCATTGCTTTAACTCGTGAAAATAAGTTCAACTTTTTTATAAATTATACAAGATTCAACTAATTTTTAAAGTATGTTTAATGTCATTTAGGCTGCAAGTTTGCACTATTAGTGCACTTATATAATGATAATAAAACTGTGCATTTGTTTAAACTTATATTTTGATGGAGCTTTCATTTTGAATTGATTTATGTTTACACTGAGCAGAGAGCTTATATAAAGCTGGCTATATTTCACTCAATCACATCAGTCCACTTCTTAGATTACCGCTTTTAGATGAGCAAATTATTGTAACCAAAGAGTTATAATTTCCATGGTTTGTGACGTGATTAGATCATTTTAAACTCAGGAGTTTGTTGTTATTGTCGACTCAAATTATCAAAATTTTATAAAAAGTGAATCACTGTGTGCTTATTTTTTAGGTCATAAACTAATGATAAAAAAGGCATTCTCACCCAAGAGTTCTTGTAAAGAATAATTTGAACACATGAACCAAGTGCGGATGAACATCTCTGTGTCAGTTCAGACTGGTAATGTGAATTCTGTCGACATGTATTGAGGACTGCGATGCATTCAAGATATCAGATTATCTGATATAAAGATTCTGATAGAATTTATGTGTTAACAAATAGCAAGCCTGATCTTCTTTCAAATAAAAAAAAGATGAGAAGATAAAATTGTAGTTTGGTATGAAGTAGAACATTCTAGAAATAACTCAAGAACTGCATTGCCAAGTCCTTCTTTATCCCCATGTGCCCTGAGTTTGATATAACAGGAGTCTAGTGTTACTAGCTCAGGAACAGTACAGTCCGTATTAATGATTACATAGCCAAGCTTGACTGGTGTATAGTTGGTTCTACCAGGAAAGAGTATTTTTGGCCTGCTCATCCTAAAAGTCGTCACAAAAGGTCAGACGCGTCTGCTGGATTTGCTGTAAAATTGCTGAAACAGCAATTTTGTGATGTTTAGTTGTAAAGCAATGCCCTTTCACCAATGACTCTTTTTAGCGTGAGAAAAAAAGGACCATGAAAATGAGTGAAAAGCCTAATGTTAGCAGGTCTCCATACATCATCACATTACATTATGCCCTTCATTTGGGGCGCAGCATCATGCTGGAGTTGTCTGAAAATAATGAAGACTAATAGTTACTAGCTATGAGTTTGCATACACAAACACAGCCATATATAATAAGTATTCATTATATAGTGTTCATAACAGTGTTATGACAATTGGTTTTAAATTGCAACAAGGAAGAAAAATTGACAAAAATGTTTTCCATATATATATAACACATGAACCAAGTGTGGAATATGAACATCTCCAATTGAAATGTGTTCAATGTATGGTAAAATACCGACAGCTGTGGTTTGCAGAGAAATTTACCGTATAAAATACGGTAGCAAGACCTTACGGTAACAAGGTTTTACAGACTTAACTGAAAATTTACAGAAATAAACTGAATAAAATCTGATATAATGTTAAATGATCGACCCATTGAAGTATTAATATCTGTTTTGTACTATTGTAATACACTGACAACCAACTATAGAAGCTGCACAGTGTCATTCACTCAAACATTAAACACCATCATGGTAACACACATGAAATTTATTAACATTAAATGTCACATAAAACTCTAATGCACATAACTGATTAGAAAAAGACTAAGCAAAAATGTTATTTCAACAAAAATAGATCAAGTGTCACGCAGGGAATTGTGGGAATGACAATTTATGTTATTTCACTGTAAATTATACAATGAGTTGTTCATTTTCACTTTTAAAACTGTAAATTTAACGGTATTTTACAGTAAAATTACATGAAATTTACCATTACATTTATCACAGTTATTTACCGTATATAGTAAGGAAAGGTTCTGTTAACCAATTAATAGTTTTTTTTTTACTGTAGCATTTTTACAGTCTTTTACCGTTAAAATCACGATCATGTTTTACAATAAGGTTACATTACATTTACATTAGTTAGCATGAATAATGCACTACACATATACAGTGTTTATTAATCTTTGATAATGATAATTTCAACATTTACTAATCCTTTATTAAAATCTTGTTGAGCTGTATTTCTATCAAATACGTTAACAAAGATAAATACAGTAACAAATGCATTGCTCATGGTTATGTTAGTTAATATAACAACTAATGTTAACTAATGAACCTTATTGTAAAGTGTTACTATATATATATATGTGTATGTATATACAGTATGCCATGTATGTTTTTCCACGCATGTGCAAGATTCTCAGCATAGTGTATATATCACTGACCAACAGTTGATAATTTTGATTTATTTTTACCATTAGGATGTTTAACCCAGCCAATGTCTCTCTCTCTCTCGTTCTCTTTCTGAGGCTGGTCCTTCCTTTCTCCTTCACCAACCTGACAGACAAACTGATCATACAGGAAAGATGCCATAAATTACAGAAGCACTATACCACTCAGTGTGCAAACACCACCCCCACCCTCAATCCATATGGATGTCATCCTTTATGGCATTCTCAGTGGGAAATTATGAAGGAATAAAACACATCTTCATTTGTCTTATATTTGGCTCTGCGATGAGAGATTCAGACACTACAACATCATCATATTAGCCCTCAGACGTGCCGAGAAATGGATTGTTCTGGAAAATGAACCTGGCTTTGCTATAAATTACACCGCTGGATTCTGAGCTATGTGTTATTTTCTTTAAAACAGAGTCTGATTGAATTAATGCCCTAATTTATGTGGAGTTACAAGTGCACCTATTACAGTAACAGGATTTGGAATTTAATCTGTCTGCTTGATAAAGAATGAATCTCTCTGCTTTCCATTTGTAATCCCAGACACGTTATTTCTGTAAAATGGCCTCCCACTATTAAATATGAAAAATGGCTGGCGGACAGCTTCGTTCATTGGTTTGGGTTTTAAACGTCACAGTCTTTCTCTTCGAAAAGGAAGTTTAAAAATGGGCAATTAAACGTCTTATCATGCGGGAGACACCTATGAGAGATCCGTTCTGAGTGCTAACCTGAGGATCTCTATCCTCCTCACTTCCACAGGTAACTACAGAACAATGTCCTTCTCTGTGTTACATCAGATCTGTTTCAGAGCAAGAGAGCCGGTCAGGTTGCATGTCAGTAGACAGATACAAGCTGCAATAACCCATAATAAGCCCTCCAGTCACGGATTCTTTATGAAAATGAAACCTGAGATTGGTTCTGTGATTGTTAGATCTGACACTTGTGGATCCACTTCATATGTCTGGTTTGGAAATGTGTTGATATTTTATATTATGTTACATGTAATGTTTGAAAAGGGAGAGCAAACTGAAGTATCAGGTATCTGAAATGGAAATCAAAGACGATCTATAAAATAACAAATACAATCTCATGGCAATTTGCACTATTTTATGTTTTGGTAAATTGGTGGCTAATTCATGGATTTGTATTTTTCTAAGAATCTAAGTGTATCTAAGTGATGGTTGTGTTTAGGGGTAACCCTTCATGTTTTATAAAAAATAAAACATTTTAGTACCATTCACACGTGCAAATTCATAAATTAATTGATTAAATGAATACAATAAATAATATGTTTGGTCTGAATAAAACCAGTTAATTTAGTGTGTGTTGAGGTTTGAGAATTATTGTTGCACATATATAAACTCAACCCTCTGGTGCTCTTTGGTCATTTTTGGCTGAAAAAAAAAAAATAAATAAATAAATATATATATATATTATTTCTTACTTCATTGGAAAGGTACGAAACTTGATAAAGGTTTTAGTAATAAATGTAAACACAAACACAAAAAAAATCATGGACATGACTCGAAAAGGTTAAGCGGTCCTGTAAAAAATAGTCACACTCAAAAAATTTCCGCATTGGAAATGAATGGGTAACACATTTTATAGTGAAAACTTTTGGTACTGCGGCCAAACAAAAGCTCATTTTTTGAGATAAAAAGCTCAAACACAACTCGTTTAGATTTATGGCTTTGATTTTCTTGCAGTTTTAGAGTAACACGTGATTTTGAATATAGTATATTTGTGCATTTTTCATAACAATACATAAAATTCCAACCCGATCTCACGGGAATTCGTACGAATTTTACGAGGTGGCTAATTCGTAACAATTTGTCTGACCTCACTCGTACGAATTAGTACGATTTAGCTAAATCGTACATATTTTACGAATTAGCCAATTCGTATGAATTCGTACGAATGACCTACCCCTGACCCCGCCCCTAAACATAACCGTCACGTGGGTTTAGACAAATCGTACAAATTTGTACGAGTGAGGTCGTATGAATTAGTACGAATTAGCCACTTTTGAATCACTCGTACGAATTTGTACGAATTGGTCGTGAGATAGCGTAGAAAATTCTCTGACTTTTTTTAAACTAACTTTTTTACAACTTTTTTTCACTTCAGCAAGAACCTGCCAAGTGTCCTCTTTGAAAAGAGATCAAACTTAAGGTTGTCCTCTAAAGCATTCAAGATTTATCAGTTCACAGTGTAAATATAATATAGTACAAACAATCCCCTAAAAATACAAAATATTAAAGCTGCAGTCTGGCGTTTTTTTCTCTTTGTCGCCATCTCTGTTCGAAATCTGCAATTGCAATTATTCGCAGAATCATCAACTTTACGTGAGTTGTACTTCACACGGCACAGCGCAGATGAACACATTTTTTGCTGTTCTCACGGGGGCTAAATGCGTTTTTATAACAC